TCTCCTCTATAGAGTGTAGATGATACGCGTAAAAGTGTTTAGCGAATTTACAATTTACTAATTTACAAATTTCATCGATTATTACGTTTATCTGAAAGTTTTTCATATTTTTAACCAAGAATTTTGTAATAGCCAATAAATAATTTGTATTTAAAGGAGACACGAAAAATGCTAATGAGTGAGTGGAAATACGGATGTTCTCAAAAATTAGTGTGTAGCGCCATCTTTAGATTGATGTTGGACAGACTGATGTAAGAGAACTTGAACGAATCTGTTCTCACAGCTTGTTAATTTTTCCAGGCGTTTTGAAAGTGAAATGGTACTCTTATTATCATCATCATCATCATCATCATATTTGTTTTGTAAAGATATGTTATCAATTCAAAGTATTCAATGTAATGTTATTCCATGTGTTTAAAATATAGTGGTAGATGGAGAGGCTGCTCAAGACGAAGTTCTGGATTATGATATTAGTTTTTTTTTAAATTGCAAGTACATATAAAAATACAAACAGATAGATAACAATGGTAGAAATAATGTTCATCAAGTCAAAGAAACTGTAGAGTCTGATATATAAATAGCCTATACAAATAACAATGATTACACCTTCTCGAATAAACCAATGTACAGTAAGTTCGTGACGCCCTTTGAAGATAAATTCAATCATTAGATACTACATACAACATGAAAAAAAGAGAAAGTATGACTCCTTACATGCAACGACATTACATGATGTATGTAGGAGGAGGAGGAGGAGAAGAAGAAGAAGAAGAAGAAGAAGAAGAAGAAGAAGAAGAAGAAGAAGAAGAAGAAGAAGAAGAAGAAGAAGAAGAAGAAGAAGAAGAAGGAAGACGAGAAGAAGGAGGAAGAGGAGAAGAAGGAGTGGAGGAAGAGTAGGAAGAGAAAATGAGGAAAGAAGAAGAAGAAGAGGAAGAAGATGAGAAGCTGTAGTAAAGGGGGGAGGTGCGATTTATTCATACAAAAAAGAAAATATGTTCGATCAATGAGAAAATATATATAGCCTTGAAATATTTGCGTAAAGCGTGAGCAAACAATGCGTAACCTTTTCATTCAAAAGGCAAGAAACGTGTGGTATCGAAGTGATTCTTAATTTTATGGCATTATTGAATGCGATACATAAGTAAGCGGACACGAAGACAGAGAGAGAGGGAGAGAGAGGGAGAGAGAGAAAGAGAGAGAGAGAGAGAGAGAGAGAGAGAGAGAGAGAGAGAGAGAGAGAGAGAGAAGGGGGGGGGGGGTTGATAGGAAAGAGTATAATGTAAACTATAATACATGTAGTATGCACTTATTTCGGTTTATTGAGAAATGTATTGGAAAGGAGAAAGAATTTCCGGGGGGATATGAAAATAATATATGGAAAGGAACGGATACAGAACAAGAGAAAAATAGATAGGGAGAGAAAAGAAAGAAAAGAGAGGGAGAGGGAGGGAGAGATAGATAGAGAGAGAGAGAGAGAGAGAGAGAGAGAGGGAGAGAGAGAGAGAGAGAGAGAGGGGATATGCTGAAGTAAACTCGAAAAGATAGGGGAAAGAAGATTAATTGAAAAAAGGTATAGGCCCTAGATATATCAAAAATGAAGAGGAAGAAAGACAGAAAGCGATAGATAGCTATAAAGATAAAAGAGAAAAGGAGAGAGATAGAGATAGAGAGAGAGAGGGAATAGAGAGAGAGAGAGAGAGAGAGAGAGAGAGAGAGAGAGAGAGAGGGAGAGGGAGAGAGAGATTGTCCTTTCGTATACGTCTCACCTCCCACGCATATTTATTTTTCTGACGTCATCGCATAAACAAATATTCCAAACAGTATTTCACGATAAGCCTAGACATTCGTCGTTCTTCTGTCAAATATGACGATCTAATATGACGATCTAATATTAATGTTAATGTGATTTTAAAAATTAAGACCATGTTTCAAATGAATATTAAATCATAAAAAGGAAGATGGATACCACATAGTATGTTTGGAGCAGGAGGAGGGGTGATCAGCTGTTAAACATAGACTTTTATTTGATACCCGTTGAAAAAAAAATTGGAAGATATAAAAACGGTAAACAGTATTTTATATCAAATGTCATGGAATGGTTTCTTATGCATATCAAAATGATTAATAGATTCAAATATGATTCAATGTGTTCGCAATATTATCACGGTAAAGAATTATGAAGGTATGAACACATGAACCGAGTTTTGAAGTCTGAATCTAGACTATGATGCGAAGCCATTTGGAGAATGACTGAATCTTGCGGATGCTGCCATTGGTATTGGCAGTCGTAGAGCAGCCGACTGCGGGATTTTATCAAGTCTATACCATTCCTTTGTGGCGCTTATTTATGTTTCGGGATAGAAACGGACCATTTTAGTGGACCATATAACATCAACATGGAGAAGAGGAGTTGAAGGAGAGATGTTGTGGAATTTCCTTCGCCTGGCGTGGCTTTTTGGCGCCATTTCCCCCTCTTTTTCCAGTCCATATGGGAACATTGGTAAGCGGTAGCTCGAACAGGTTGTTGTTGTGCGGTGGTGATGTTGTATAGACCGCCGTCGCGTTGGCGGGGAGAGGTAGCTTTGAGCGGATGAGCTGAGGGTCGTTGTGTACGTAGAGACATCGAGATGTATGTGTGTGGGAGGATATCTTTTATTTCTCTCTCGGATGAGAAAACAATTTCTTCCCCTGCTTGTCCCTTTTTATAAGCTTCTTATCTATAATATATTCCGCTATGAATGATTAAAAAACCAAGGTGATGCCAATGGCAAGGCCTAGGACAACTGTACTTGTGCTTGACGGATAGGTATGATATACAAAATCAGGCAAGCATTCTGTTTTGTATTAAAGCAGGAGGAGGAATTAAAGCACCTTATGCTTAAAGCTCTTTTTGCATTGTATGTTACATGAAGTAAAGCTTGGCTTTGGAATAGTTATTGCTGGATGTACCAATTTGTGAAACATTCAATGCGAATGCATTACAACCTTGATTGCACAACACTGTAGTTATTTCTCTTTCATTGCATGATTTCTGAAATGTAATGTAACTTAATGCAGCATATTTTAACCTTTTTATAGTTGTGGCTTTCATTTTTAGACACATAAAGTTTCACATCCCTCTAATTCCAAATTCATTACAGAAGATTAATTTTCCATCACTCTGATACTTGTGATGTCATGATAAATTATATTCCTTGTACATTTCCAATTTTGGAAGCGCAGAGAGACGTTTAAATGTGATGCGCTATACAAGAACCGAATATGATTAATATAATTATTATTACATTATGCTGGCACTAGCTTGCTGCCCATAAGTAAAACAAGAATATATATTCCGTCACCTTGATGCACAATTATAAGGATATTTGGGTACCTTGTTGGCCAGAATTATCCTGTTTCTAAGTATTCCGATTTATTTAATAATGAATCCCCCCAAAAAGATCTTTAATTAATTTCTTTTGCAACACCCTGCTTAAAAAATGCTGACTTATAGTGCACCTACATGTACAGGTGTCGTGGTCGAGTGGATATGTCACCGGACTGTGGATCACAAGGTCCGCGGCACTAATGTCCTTTGGCAAGACACTGATCTACATTTGCCACTCTCCACCCAGGTGTTAAAATGGGTACCCGGTAAGATGCGAAAGTTAATGTGGTTGGATTAGCAAATGGCGCTTGTAAAATGGCGACTGGCTGGAATACTCCCCAGGGAGTGGAAAATGTGCATACATTGGGTTGTGGGTAAGCCTGAATCCGATGACCGGAGTAATAATATGTTCTGCACCTAGAAACAAAGTATTAGGCGCATTATAAATGTAAGCTATTATTATTATTATTACGTGTAAGTGCACCTGAGGGGAGCAAAGGAAGCATGAGCCCCTGAGCCTCCACTGCCCTCTCCTCCCCCAGCAAAAAAACTGACTAACTTCATACACATCCCCCCCATCAGTAAACTCCCCTCGACCCGCCTCTAACTGCTACTAGTTATAACTATATTCTGTAACTGATGATATGTGATACTAAATACAATTTTGTTAAAAATATACCACAAATATCAAAAGCCAAATAATTAAATTTTTAGCTTGTTTCATCAGAAACGTACATGTGAGGAGATAAACAAAATGGAAGCGTAATTTATGTACATGTGCATGACTGTACTTGTAGTACACATCATAAATCTTAAACAAACAAGAAATAAAAACTGAGTTTTGTCAAGAGTAGTGTATCACTAACAGCCTTTTCACACACAGCTAAAATTCATCGTATCCAGAGAAGATTAGTATAAACGTGTTTAACTCAACAGTTTTAAACATGTTTATAGAAAATTTTCCCAGTGTGAACATCGTTTATATGATGTTGGGATAGATACAAAGTCGCGATTCATACGCCCCTAAAAGCAGGCTGCAGATACGAAGTTCGTATCTAGAGAGCTTGACATTTTGTGTGTGAAAGGTTATTCGTGTTTAAACGTGTTTCAAACGTGTTTAAACTGGATGGAGCGTGCACTTTGATTGATATGACATGACCTTCAATGCGCAATAGCACTACTGCGCATTTTATGAGCAGTAGTTAATCACGAAACGATTAACGATCGCACCGAAATTTCTGTGTGTGAAAGGCTCGTGATTAGTTTAAACACGTTTATACTAATCATGTTTATAGAATTTTAGCTGTGTGTGAAAAGGCTGCATGTAGAGTCTAACTTTGTTATAAATTATACAACAAGAAATTAAGCCCACATATTCTCATGTAATAGATTCAACAAACTTGTGTTTTTAATATGTTTTTATTAAATGTAGATTTGCCCGAGTACGTATTGAATGATATGGCTTCCCATTTTTTAAAATTATAAAACGGAGACACTACATGTAATTACTCTAATTGTAGGTTTTCACTTCAAATTCAAATGACTGCCTGAAGAAAGTCTGATTGCAAAACAAAATAAAAACTACAGCCTTTATTGATTTGATCTGTTGGTCAGTGTTACACTGTATGTAATTGTACCTTAATGTATTCTGTAAGGATTGAATTTCCTCTCTGCCACACTCCTAAAAGAGTGGGTAACCACTGTATACAGTTATACACTCCTAAATATTGAATTCCACCACTCTGCACTCCTAACAGTGGATTATGACTACGCTCCTATTTGGTTTCCTCTCATCTAAGCTCATAAAAGCGTGGGTTACCAACTTACCATTATACGCTCATTAAAAGAGTTGATTTCCTCTAACCTGGACAGTTTGTAAACGTGTAGATTTTCCAATCTTTACACTCCTAAAAGAGTGTACCGTTGGACAACTACTATGTGCACTCCTAAAAGAGTTGATTTCCTCTAATCACTCCCAAAAGAATTGACTTTCCCATGCATTCTTTACCGGTACTCTCCTATATCATAAATTATTTCTTTCCACAACTTAATTATTAATACCCTTAGTTACCAGGTTTTGTAATTTTTGAAGTACAGGTATGTCAAAAATTGATTTGTCTCTATTTATAATTCTTGAGAATGTGACATATTTATAAATAAAACATCTAAAATTATTCAACAAAGGCCTCAATTCAACCAGTCCACCTTTCGTATTTGAGTTAAAAGAAGAAAAAAAAAAAACCCACACACCCCCCAATTTATTTGTTAACTGTTCATATAGGGTTCACTGAGCATTACAGGTTCATTCATTGATTGTAGTGGGACTACTCAGCCTCTCTCAGCAGGTGAATAGCTTTATAAAGCTCTATTGATTTGCTTAATAATAGATTGAACGAGGTTCAGAGATGGTTGTATGAGTGTAACGAGGATTACTAAGTGTAAAACATATTGATCCTGTCAAGTGACATTGCCGTGCAGAGATTTACTGACTTGCCTTGCTGCCTTGGGGTAGTCCTGCTATGTGGATTTGGTGAAGTCTAGTATTGACATAATCAATAGATAAATGATAGCAGTGGTAATCAATGAAATTCTCACAGAGTCCAACAAAATTTACATTAATTAACAAAATCTCAGTAAGCCATACATCTATTATATAATATATATACCTTTTTCACATGCACATGTACAATGTATGCAGCGTACATGTACGAAGATGATTCTCATTGCATGCTGTTTAAGTTTTCATTAATTTTTTTGAATCTTGTCCTCACAACCCAAGCAAGGATTCTATAATTCTAATATCAATAGTTAAGACTGTAAGGACAAACATTTATTTAGTGATTGGAATAAGAGCAATCATCATCAGCTTAACAACAAGATAACTTTTAATGAAATGTAACAACAAACAGTTTCATGAATGTTTAGCAAAATATATGTAGAGGTGTTTATTTTCATGTTGACACTTGACAGCAAACAAGGAAATACATCTACAGGTGTACAACACTTTTAATCCATGTTTGTCCTGTTCATTGTATATTCAAGGGGGGGGGGGGGAGAGGGGGTAACACCTAAAATATTAATTACTTTATTTGTAACGGGTCATACTGCACAGCAAGGTTTATTTATACCAAGAAAATCTTGGGAAATGTTGGAATAACAAGTGTGCATGATCACACGTACATGTACAGTATGTGTGATATGTTCTAAACATGAAATGAAGTCTTCTCTTCACTTTCACGCAAGGTTTTATTCATCTTTGGGGTGAGAGGGTTCAGTTGTCATTTGAATTGGCTGGCAATATTTCAGGATCCTGTCGAGCTGAAATAGAATGTGACATGAGGAGTGCCACATACTGTACATGTACCGGTAGTCCATATCAAAATGATTACTTTCAGACCTATGATAAATTTATGATAGTGACCAAAATGATTTCAAATTACAGATAAGTGTATTATGATTCTGACACTTTTTGGTAATCTTTGTATACATATTTTTGTTCAAGTCAATAAATTTTCATGTTACAAAAATTATGTATGTCATTATTTTGAGGGATCCACATTTTACAAGCTCTGCTTTTCAGTGGAGTCCTCCATTTCCACAGGTTTAACTAGACAATAACTATACTGTATTTGTGTATACTTTCTATTTTATAACGTTAAACCACATGAAATGTATTATATTATTGAATATTGAATTGTTTATCTGATTTCTTGTCAAAATCACTGTTCTGTTGGAAATGAAAAATAAAAATGAAACCAAAACTGAGTAACACTTTGGTTAAGCTGTTTGAAACAGGAACAGTCAGTTGTAAAATACAGTCAGTTGTAAATGTGTAATTGAAATTTATGAATGAAACATAAAAGGCATTCAACACTACAAAGGAAGGAAGGAATGCTGTTTGCATATGTTGTTGATTTAGGGGGCGAGTACAATTTGGCTGGTACAATAGGCATGACTTTTGTCCATATGCTCAAAAGCTGCCTAGCTTATTAGACCACTAGATGAAAATCCTGATTTGTTTCGTATAAATGGAGTGCTAAATAATAATGATAATATTCAGCTTTTTATATAGCATCTATAAGCGCTTTACAGATATACTATTACCCCAGTCATTGGATTAAAAACTTGCCTGC